TAGTCATGTCCATCCTGCTCACTCCCAGTGAACACCTGGACATCTGAATATCTTCATGCTGTGGCTCATCAGCCCTCTGTAGTTACTGCAGCTCTGTACATCACCCTGGTGCTTGCAGATCTGTACCAGTACAGTTCTCCTCCTGTGAAAATCCTGGTTAGTCCACTGTCCTCCTAAACAACCGACTCCACAGGATCGTCCTCTAGAGTAGCCTCTTCATAGCTGCCCTCACCTCCTCCTTACTAATCCTCTGCTCTTCCTAGCTGTCCTCCACTTTCTTCATTCATCAGCTGATTAAAGCACTTCTTCCAGCTTTTCAACACTCATCGCTCTTCAGTACATTCACATCTCAATCCTGAAATGCCTTCACTTCAGGCAGATGCTCTGACCATCAGCCAGCGGTGGGGCTGCTCTTTAAAGACTCCAGCTCCATTTGTGCTTGGTTCTGCTGTGTGAACACAGACAGAAGCTCCTCCTAGATGTTACCACTCGCGCCTCTCATCACTCCTCACCACATCACCACAGCAGCTGTGATTCACAAGATGAAAGCCACACTCTCCACACATGGCATTCCGAAGAAAGTCATAAGCGACAACGGACCATGTTACAGCTCACAAGAGTTGAGACGTACTGGGGATTCCAGCATATTACATCAAGCCCACGTTACCCCCAGAGCAACGGCTTAGCTGAAAAGACTGTCCAAACTGCACAACGTATTCTGACAAAAGCAAAACAGGACAGGATGGATCCCTACTTGAGCTTGCTGGAGTACAGGAACACACCTGTTGATGGCCTTAAATCCCCCAGCCCAAATCCTCATGAGCCGTAGATTGTACTCCGTTTTGCCCTCAACAACTACACAGCTCCGCCCTCAGGTCACCCCACAAAGCCTTGTGCAAGAAAGACGGGAGGAATGTCAACTGCGTCAGAAAAGACATTATGACACATCCGCCCGACCCCTGCCGACACTGCAGGCTGGAGCACTAATACGCTACCAACAAGAAGATGGGACATGGCAGCCAGCCACTATTGTCAAACCAGCAGAGACCCCACGCAGCTATCACATCAAAACAG